GTTATAAAAACAATTAAGTTGCTTGAACTGAAAATCAGAATTGCGTATCAGTCGATGAATCTCATGAATCTATTGCTCACGCGGATTCAGTTTAATCCGATGCAATCAGTCTTTGGTATAATTCAAAGGGGAAATAATAATTCGCTAAACAAAGTTTAAAGTTGGTTGCATGATGAAAATAATTAATCGTTTAAGTAATTTAGCATCGTATTCATGTTATTTTCTTCAAATACTATTTTCGGAATTTAAACAAAAAATACCATATAAAAATATTTTTAGAGCAAGTGGATCAATCGGATTTTTCAAGACTAGTGTAAGTCAAAACACCTGAATTCAGATTGAGAATTCATATTATGGATTCAGGTTCTGATTCAGACTGTGTAAGGCCAGCCTTAGGGTTCAACTATACACTGTATCATAATTAGTCATACGTAGAAAAATTACACTTTGAAACTTGCGCTTTGCATTCTAAATATAGATACCATTTCACGGTTTAAAACGCCTACTATAGTAAAGGTTTTCGTACCTTCTTTATCCCGACGTGTCGGCCAGGTTACACCAGTCATGGTCACGCCCCGTAACCCGTGAAATGTTCTGTTCATACTAAAATGTATAACTAACAGGTGGCGCTCTCAGGCGCCTTCATAATCTACAGAGTTTACATAGCGTTTTTCGGCCATCTTTTTGGCAGGACAGTCAGTATTACCCGTTTTATGATTGCACAGCTTTTTGAAATGCAGACATGTTGTACATTTTGGTGATTCGGCTTTCTTCGAGCACTCTTTGACGGCGTGACCTAATTCACCGCAGTGACCGCAGGTGTTGTTCTCCTTTCGACATGTTTTGCTGCGTGACCATACTGCTGACACTTGTAGCGTAGGTCTCATAAGGGACACGAAGATCAGTTTATAAACACTCTCTCTTTATTTATGAGGGCCTTCCGTACGTTTGCTGGATTTTTTATAATATAATTGCAGCTTTCGGCGTCCTTTTTCCCAACTTGTGGCTTAGTTTCAAAGAGGACACAAATGAGTCAAGTGTTATGTCGTTAAGTATATCGACTACGTTTTGTTTGTATAAGCAGTTGAATACTTCCGGTTCGGATATAGCTGCTGGTACTCCAATAAGGACAATTCTGGGCTTCCGTTGAAATGTGTCGCCCACAGCGAGGCCAGAGGAAGTAAGTTGTGTCAACTGCTTAAGCTTCTCAACATCATCCTTGGTCTCAGTGCTGATGATGACACCACCGTTTATCGTCTTGCGTAGACCCCTGACGTGCAGCTTCATCTGTTCAGGTTTAATAATTTTCTGAACAAGAGACTGGGTTTCTTCGCTCGTCTTTAACTTATCTATGGAATAGATAGTTACCGAGCTTATTGTTTAGACTGGGCTACATTTTTCTTAAGCATATCTGCAAAGGAGACAGTTCCTGCTACTGGTCTTGACGACTCAATACTCTCTTTCAGATCCTAGAGTCGGGGTTATATGGGTCTGCAGTCGTTTTTTGCTTCAGAGATTGATACTGCACGGCCATTTGAGAAGTCCCATGGGACACTTTACGGCATAAATTATTAATTATCAACTTGTGGTCCGAATTGAGCTTCCCTTCTGTGGCAATAGTGCATACCTCATTGAGGCATAGCTCAATGGTTTCATCCAGGTTTGAACTTTCGCAGTCGAAACGACCTCTGGAGCAGGGTCTTCCTGAAGGGCTGGCGCGGGAGGTGCGGTCTCACGGGTGGGAGTTGGTGGCGGGCTGCGGCGCGTTAGCGCATTCCGGCTAAAGGGTCTGTCCATTTATTTGTTTTTATAAAACACCATACATTTTAATAAACACACTTTAAACAAAAATCTGTTTATTTTATTCACTGTGTACTAACACAGATTAAAGCGCTTCCGCAATGGCTAGCTAGGTTACGATTATGCAATTAATCATTTCACAAAATAATTTTTAAAATAACACGAAACAATAAACAAACACGTAATCGGACGGTCACATCAGTGGTCGTATGATTTTTTGACGTATTTGGTGTCAAGAAAGAGCTATGCTTGATCAAGTCGACAGTGAACACTCAAAGCGTCGCATCAAGCCGTCTCGTCAAGCAAAAAATATAAAATCGCATTAAGCGCGGGGCAGGCTCTTAAATGCTTGACTCAAGCATCAAGCAAACATTGTAGACGGTCAAAATGTTAAGCATTTTGAAGCAAGCAAAAAATCTACGTGCCGTAAAATGACGCCAAACTGCTTGCCCGTCTCGGAAGCCCTTAATAGAAGATACAGTAATTATATATCTTCTTCCATGAAATAGTATTTTGTTCATAAGAAGCAATAATGTTGGTGCCAAACATTCTTCCCAGTCAGGATAGCGAAAAGAAAGGTTTTAAAAATAAATATGCAACGATTTTCTTTACCCGTTGCAGAAGTTACATACAAGAGTGCACTTACATACAAGGCGTACGTGGCAAAATGCAGCGTCAAGTTAGCGAAGACAATTTAGCGCGCTCCTCGCTGCAGGCGCTTGTCACATTATCACATAACAATTTGTAGTGGGGAAAACTTAAGAAACTCGATAGAAGTATATTATTAGTTCTTTTGCTGTTTATTGATTGTCTTATTTGTTCTGCATGTGTGCAGTAGTACTTTACTTGTTATCTCAATTTTATTGTAGATATTATAATGCAGAGAAATCTTGAGAATTGTTTATTGAAATTTCTTAGTATTTAATTGAGCTAACATTTGAAAAATCTAACTTTTGACTAAAACTCCTACTAATTCAGTATATCATATAAAAATTAACGAATTCGGATTATGGTATAACATTTTTAATAGGAAATTATAAATAAGTGTTAAAACTACAAATTATTTCAGTTTAGGGAATAGCACAGCTCCAGACGATTATCTTTTATTTTTTCCGCTTCTTCAAGAAAATTTCAATAGGGAATCATTTTCTTTAATTTCACTACGTCGGGATTTTGATTGAAGTAAATTTTTTTTTTATTAATAAATAAATATTTCCTACACTCACACCAATTAGCCTAGCCCCAAAGGAAGCACTGTAAGGCTTGTGTTATGCGATACTAGGGTAACGGATAGAATAAATATACTGTACATTTATAAGTATATCTATATAGAAATAGATATTAAACATCCATGACTGGAGTACAATGCTCGTATTCATCACACAAACATCTGCCCCCACCGGGATTCGAACCCGGGACCTCTCGATTCGGTGACACCATGAAACACGGCGTACATATCACTCGACCATGGAGTCATAAGTCTATAGTTCAAATTTCCAAATTAAACTGAAATAAATATACGAAGTCTTTAGGTCCAAACATTTCAAATTGTGAATTAAAGCGATAAGTTAAAGTTAAATAATTATCATAATTACAGCTCTCGCTGAATAGGTTGGGCCAACAAAAAATAATTATGAGTAAGCGGGGTTGACGAGGGTCGCGTAAACGTCGCCAACACTTGCGTTCCGTTTGCCGACAATCTTTTGCAGACAAGTAAGGCAATAACAAGTAAAGGTAATAAATCCTAAAGGCTTATCATTCACAGAATGTAACTGAAACTCAACAGTCAGACAGACACTTTAGAGGTAAGTAGGTGAATAATGTGGATTCCAACTCTTATGTTATTACTGAGCAGATTATTTTCTGAGTGTATGACATTTGAATTAAAAAACAAATGTCCTTTTGTAGCAATATCATATATGACTTTATGTAGCTAGAAATCGTTTTTTTTATGTCTACATATACAAATAGTGATATTGTTACCCAAGATGTCGGATGTCGTTGTTGTACCCTATGACAGATAAAATATAGCATTTTATATCCAAGGAAAATTTGTTAACAAAAAGGGATGAATTGGTAAAAGTTTAAGTATGATTCACAAAGAATCGTTCGACGGACGGCGTTACCGTAGCATGTACCATTGTTATTCATGAATATCTCTGTTAGCGTTTACCTCGACGTAAATTTACTTATGTATTTCTTTTACATTGATGTTTTTTTTTACATAGGCAGTACGCATAAAATACTTCCTAGTTCTTAATCTTTTTGTAAAAAGACCATTCATCTTAATAATCAAGCTTGCTTTGGAGGATTTTCTGTTCGGATTATCCATGAAAGAGAGGATTTCAAAGAAATATATTTTTAGTAAATATTTATATAAAAATATCCAACTGAATAGATACTGGAGAGGACACGTGTAACATCAATAATAATCATTATAAGTTTACAGCATTCGTAGAAAAATGCTCGCAATTTCGTTATTCCTCCCAAGAAAATGATTGGCATCTAAAAAGTTTGTTTCGATCGCTTTTTAAATGGCATGGTGCCCTAAATTGTGAGGATTGTGACGTTTTTATATGGCTCGCAGCCGGTCGTAAAAATAAAACCATATTGCCTTCCACACACATCATGAATGTGGTTCACATCATAAAACTTGCCAAGTATGATGTGAATCAAGGGCTCGAGGATATTTACCTTATACTGTTCTATGCTAAAGTTAAAAATGTTTATAACAAACGAAGCTTAAAGTGAAGCACGTTTAAAACTGATACTTTAATTACATCGATGGTTTTGTTCACATCTCATTCATCAACATTCAAAAACAAATTTGCTTGCTATATATTTTTTTCTTATATTGTAAATTATTTAAATTTCATTATAATAAAATAATAGGTATTAATTGTTATATTAGTCATGTAACAGCCCTCTCGCATTTCAAGACCTAATATAAAAATACCGTAGACCTAATTTCTAAGGCTAAGTTAATGTAAGTATAATGTTAAAATGAAATTAACACACCATGCTAAAAATCAGTGCATCTGCCCAAAGTCACGAATTCTTACATCGTTTTTTTTTCTAAGTAAGTTAAGAATTTAATTGGGGTGTAAAAATTAGGCGTAAAAACATGTTAACACCCTTTCCTTAGCAATTTTCTATTACCTACTAGATAAAAAGTGAGTTATTTTTTAAGGTGATGTTACCTGTGTGGGGTATCCTGGAGCCGCCGCGTGGGTGGAACCCCACCCCCTGTGTATTACTCAGACTGGTGAAGCTGAAGAAGGCTAGGAACTGCGACCTCACCGTCTTCTCTGTTATCCTGGTAAATAAAAACAATTTAATGACATGACAGTATGTTAAAAGGGTGGCAAAAAAACGTATGGCCGGCCAGATGTTAAGCGGCCTTCATGGCCTATAGACGCTTAGACATTACCCTGACCCAATCCCCTACCCCGTGGAGCTCTGGAATCTTACTTACCGATTTGTTTTTTTTTATGTTATAGGGGGCATACGAGCAGACGGCTCAGCTGATGGTGTGATGATGATTTGTGCTCGCTTTTACAATAAATTCCCAAGCAATATCCAAGAGATAACCATAAATAAATTCAAAGATAGTATTAAAAAAAGCACTTATTAAAAAAGCTTATTACAAAGTATCTGATTATATTACAGACAAAAATGCTTGGGTTTGAACTGTTCCAATAATTCCAAAAGGTTTTCTATATTAAATAAATCATGACCGTATTGACGTTGTAACAAAAAAATGATTTGTAAATGTTTTTACATTATACTTTTAATTTTGTGGAGCTTTTTTCGCTCGTTTTTCTCCGCAGCTAAAAAATATGTCCAATAACGAGTGGTAGGGGAAAAAATGTTTGGACGATTCAAAAGTGTTGTACTTATACATCCAATTTGAATAAAGATATATTGATTTCTGATTGATACTAACACAACACCACCAAAAGGTAGTGTATTCGGGTATTTTACTATGCTTTTCTGCAAAGGAGAGGTTACTTCTCCAAAGGCCAGGGCGTTCCAATTCGAGATAATTTTATTAAAGTAGGCTATACATAACATTAGGTATCGTTTTTGTGGGACAGCCACCATGTAACTTGTTTTTTGTGAGTCCAATATTTGTTACATGGTATCCATACTGCTAATTACTTTAATGTTAGTGATCACGTTAGTTTAAAACAATCCTGGCTGTAATTTGGTATAGAGTACAATGGATAAGGCGGATCGTTGCAAAGGTCGGAGTTTCATTTGTGATAGCCAACTTATCTATGGAATTTACACTTCTTGTTTAGTAGTATGTGGTAATATTATATTTTTTCACGATAACCGGACAACACATTACAATTATTTCGTTCCATACTTACTGAACATCTGTAACCGCAGACTGAACATACAACTGTTATTCTTTTGAGATTTTGTTGTAGGTCGAAACAAAAGAAAATTTAAAAAGAAAATAGGTAAAAAACATTATCCAACAATAACATGCTAATTAAATCATTAGTCGTTTAAAAAAACAACATCAATTTTCAAAGAATTGAACATCCTTCTTGGAGTGAATTCTGGTCTGGCAAAAAGCTGGTTACAAGTCAAAAGCTTTCCGTTGAATGATTTTAATATTTAAAATTGAAAAACGAAGCCATTAAAGGATCCTCAGTGCGGTTATCTGTCCTTCCATCGAGAGAGACCCTTTTCAGGCGAAATGGACAGGGTTATTGACTCGAATGGAACAGTTGTAGACGTGAATGCCGCTATTACGTCCCATTATTAAACACAAATCTTTAATCATATCTCAATTTGTCATAATTCAAAAGTCATCTCACGAATACTTAACAACTGTATTTGATTTCTAACGTAGTTATTTAGTTTGTATATCCATTTGTTTTAAAAAAAGGTATCCCTACTCGATGAAATGAAGTAATATCAGTTTGGGCATACAACAATGTAGTGTCACAAAGTGCATCCTAATACAACAGTACAGTAAAGAAAACTTACAGTGTTAAATAACTTACCAAATATATATACATATCAATAATTTTGATTAAAGCATTGTAACATGTATTCTTTTCAAATATTTTACTATTATGAAATCAACCAATCCTGTCAGTGCTTAATATTAACGATCATAATGAGACTGACACCAATAACACGCTTTGAAATAAGCAATAATAATGTCTTTGATTATTTGTAGTGTCTTAATTTTCAACAATCAATACCCGGGCCAAGATCGAGTCGATCTATCGCGAAGTTACAATGAAATGGAAAGAGCAACGCGCTTTGAACGATTTTTTTTTCAAAGCTTAGAGAGCGCATGATCGGAAACGTGAAACCTGCGGGAACAGAAAATATATAAACATATTAACAACATGTACACGTGAAAAACTGACTCAAGCATTTAATTTCATTTAACACACTCCAACATTTGCAGTCGGATTAAAACGATTTTTTTTTAAGTATGATTAAAGTGAATGCTGTCACTTTCTTTGCGATAGCAATAGAATAAGACAACACTTCAGTCGTCAATCATAATTTTTTATTGGTGACTCTGAGTGCAATTGTGAATATTGTCAATTTTAATTTATTTTGTAAAGAAAATATTACTAGAGCAGGTTTCAGACGGGATACGAACGGGCATTAAAATCTAATATATAAAATTCTCGTGTCTCGGTGTGTGTCATTGAACTACTCCGAAACGGTTCCACCGATTTGCGTGAAATTTTATTTGCATATTCAGTAGGTCTGAGAATCGGACAACATCTATTTTTCATCCAAATAAATTTTAAGGGTTAGCGCTGCGTCGTAAACCTGGCCTTCGGCAGGCAGCCAGCGCTAGCGCCGCATCAACGTTGCGCGGACGCTGGCACGACGACACGGGTCAGAAGACGCTATTGTGGGGGGTAGTAGTACTTCAAAATTAGTACATTTGCCTAAAGCTTGACTTACCACGCTACACATTTTCAATGGATATACACAATATAAAAATTGGCAATAAATACCATAGTTTTTAAGGCTTAAACCTCTTTTTTAAATTTACCGTGAGATTTCACCAAATTAAAGAAAAACTTCCTTACAAAGTAATATTTCATTAATGAAATGTTTGCATACTTATTCGATCGTTAGCAGTTTCAACTCGAATCCTAACAGTAATCCGATTTCGAAATAGCAGAGAGCTACGTTGGCATGAGGTACACTGGGTACATACATCCATGCATACATCTCATAAAATCGTGTGACGCTAGCTGTGTTGTCGCTGACGTGAGCATTTGCAACGTCGCGCCGCCCGCCCGCCGGCGACCATCCGCAATTCCGGATCGCGCATTACCGTTTCCGCTGTGACGACCTTTTGTCCCCGCGCTCGTTCTGCTTCTAAGGGATGCCGCTATATAGAATAGTGGGATGACGTTTATGAAGTCCGGAACTGGACTGAATGGTAGGTATTGCATAAATAACGTGATTTGCGCGACTGACCGGGCATGTTAAATAAAAATTCTTTTTTACAAACCCAATGGCGTATTCAACCCATTTTTTTCAGTTTGTAATAAATAAGCAATACCATGGATTAGATCAATGTGATACATTTACAAATTAACTAGAGGTCACGTTTAATTTAAAGGTTGTGCTTAACTTATAATTAGGAAGTGCAAGGAAAATCTATATAGATATTTATTTTAAGCATTTAACTGCTAGATTTTTATATCTATATAATTTTTGAAGTGAAAACTTCTTTAGCACCATTGTGATTTAAAACCCGATGAAACAAAAAAGCGACAGTTTTTACACAAGGTACCCGTAATTTTGTAACTCTCTGCAAGAGTCAGATAGCCGAATTGATATGGTCTTGGGTTCGACACCAAATGATCGGTGGATCGATCCTACGCTTGGTTACTTTTCTAATTGTATTTTTTTTCTTTTATTAAGCTATTATTTATACAATACAATTTAATTGTACGTTTCACTCCTATCGCATGTGAACAGCACATGTCCGTTTTATTTAATATTTACATATTTTTTTCAATGGGAAAATTAACAGCTATTCATACAACAATTTTAAGAACTTTATGCCATTAACCAGTTTTCACTTATTGATGAAGAAATTACAAGATTGGAAATTTAATTTTACATAGTTGTGAGATAAAAGGGACGAGAAATTGAAAAAACATACACTTACCCCAGGTATATATAATAAAATGGTAGGAAAGTCAAAACTGTACATTGAATATTTTTTTAAAAGAATACTTGATCTAAAATCGATACCGAAGCCAAAAATATATTTTTTGGAATTTTTGTCTGTTTGTCTGTATGTATGACCCGGATAAACTCAAAAAGTACTGAATGGATTTACTTCAAAGGACAATGTTAAAATTGGCCTAAGAACCAACACCAATTTGGCATTTATGATAATTCTTAGTATATTTTTTGCGATAATTATCAGTATGTAGATTGTGACGGACACTCCCAGATAAGTAAGCTAAACTAAAAAGTTATAAAATAATCTGAGACAATAAATACCATTTTATGTGTATAATCTATGGAAGCGCTGCAAACAAAACACTCTTTCTTCCTAATGCCGGCACTTCACTTGGCTATTCGTATTTGCTATTTTAAAAAAGACATCAGTCTGTCCTTTTCATTCCTCATTAAGCATGACAAGGACAAACTGTTGTCAAGTGAAGGGCCGGCTTAAAACTCGTTACTCTGTGGTTGTGGTGCATGCAGTTTGCATTTGTTTGTAGTAATCTGTGGCATTCGTGCATTCCAAAGAGTAGTATAATATACTGGAGAGTGCATTCTCGTTTCAGATTACCTGTTGTGTGTGTCTATTTGCGATTGTTTTTCCTTTAATTTAACAATTTTGGCTATCTAATATGCCATCGATGTTACCAAAGAGCAGAGCCCTTATTGCCACAACATCCTGAGAGGATCATACTGCCAAATTATTTAAGAACACCTGATACACATTCACGCTGCATATTTACACAATATACATGTGATATACAAATAAATACAATAAACAATATGATACAATTATGTGAAAAATAGTCAATAAATAAGAAGCAAAACTACAGTTTTTATTTCATTCATGATTCCTACCTAACCAAGCTTTTCCTAATAGTTATTCTTTAAAATCGCACCGAATAAAATGAATTAGGTGTAATATTAATTCACTTCATACTGAGTTCATACTAAGTTCATAGGTTGACCTATGTTTCATTGAATATTAAGCATAACCTCAAAAAAAAATAGTTTTCTTAATAATTTAAGTTCTCAGAAGTGTCCGTCAATAATGTTTGTTTTACAGTCATTTACTTACGATTTTGAACCTAGAAAATAATATTTCATGATTGTTGGTTCTTAGGCTAACTATGTATGGACGCTGAACAATGTCCTTTGGCATGAATATATTTAGAAGTCGGATCAAAATATTATCAACTTTATTTCTTGAACGCATTCTGTAACAACGAATAACTAACGACACGTGTACGAAGTCGCGGGCGGCCGCTAATTTATCATAAAATTATATAACTATAACTAGCAGATCTTCAAAAAAATACGAAATGCTCAGCATCAAATATAATTGCCAATTTTACAACTTTATATTGGCACTTCATTATAAATACATAAAGTTCTTTTTAAAGTAAGATCACTTTTTTACCAACAACTATTACAAAGCTTTCAATAGCGAAAAAAAACTAGACAGATGTGAGTCACAGGTTGTATATGACTGGTTCTGTACAATTGCGCATTGTTAATAACATTTGCATTATAGTCATGGCGACATTTCACTTATAGACTTTAATTATTATTTATTAAAGTGGAAATAGAAATACACATTCTGCGATTGTTTCAACTGATGATGAAGATTTAATAACGTTTAGTATTTTGCTAAACCTGACTTCTTATTGTGCTACTCTCTTACTAGGGTGATTTCTTTACCCAAAGGGTAAAAAAACGAAACCATATTGCTGTCACTTAGTAGCATAATAATATTGAAGGTAGCTTCTTTAATCACTGATGTATTTTGTTTTCTTTCTCTTAACATCATCTAGTAGCCGTGACATTGATTTTTGGTAGAGGCGGTTTTAGCCTTGGTTTTCACTCTAAAATTCATTACTAATGATGACGCTCTTAACACTAAAACAACAGATATACTTGTTTCTTGATACTTCACTCACATCAATTATTTAATATTAATACCTACTAGGCGTTTAACATAATTTATTGCACAATTGCTAACGTTTCGGAACATTTTTATGGATCCGAGAAATATTTAATTAATTTTAGCTACCGCCTCCTGTACCCCTAGCACGAACCATTATCGAATTCGAATAGTTTGTAAACCGAAATGTCAATGTAAAATTTTGTATGGAAACTTGAACAGCAGCGGCACAAAGTACGTAACGAGAACTAAAAATCTCAAGTACTCATTTGACAATGCGAATACGGACTCGCAAACGATACGAATTCGATATTGGTTCATGCTAGGGGTACTGATACTTATAGGTCATATTCATATAACAAATTATTGAATAAAATAATAGTTGTTTATGAAAAATAATAAATGACATAACACAACCAGTCTTGGACCAAGTGAGAGCGATATCCTAAGTCCATGCAACCAATACGAGTCTAAATAAAATCATCTTTTAAAAATCAACTTTTCCTCAAAAAATGTTGCCACATATCCTTGTCTTACGGGCCATTTACAAGGAGGAAGATTTTTACAAAAATCGACTTCCGTCTACATTTACGCGGGCGGTGGTGTAATGGCGCATTCACCATTACGGCCAAAAATGTAAGTATCAGTTAGCGAAGCGCATGGTACTTTTAATGAGAAGAAAAGAAAAACAAGGAAAGATGATAACCTGATACTTTAGACCATTCCGATATAAAAAAAAGGCCAAGTGCGTGTCGTGCCACGCGCTGTGTAGGGTTCCGTAGTTGCCTGTAGTTACCACAATATATTTGAGCAAGAGTCTTTATTTTCTGTATCGGAAATAAGAAAAACCAATAATCTATATGTCGGAGGATGTGACGAGTAGAGTTTCTTGTTGAATGTTAATCGCGAAAAGGCTATTGTTTACACTTTAAATAATTTTATAAAATCTTAATTTAATTTGATTTAATTAATTACAATTTTTGTATCGTTCAGTAACTTAACAATTTAATAAAAATCTCTTATAAATCATCTTATGTCGCGTCCAATCAGAGCAGAGCACGTGCCTCGAGTGGGGTCGAGGCGTCATCTTGATTTTCACAGGTGGGAGGTAGTTTTTGCGCGTATTTAAAGGCGAGGAACTGATCGTAGCGGTTCATTACTAGAAAGGTGATACGGTAGTTCAGTGAAGTCAGATTGGTACCTTGAACCCACTGCTCGGTTGTTACGTTATTTAAGTGTCCTTAGTGTAAAGTAAAGTGTGTGTGAAACATTTTTATTTTGTTTTTGTTAAAAGAACGTAATTAAAACTATACGAACAGTGATTGAGTGATTGTTTGGTTTTGTGCCTGTATCAAGCCCCAATGACGCCCACTAAGCCCGTGAACGCTAATGACAAAGTGAATAGCCGCTCTCCGACATATATATATATATATATATATTTATATGTAATTGTGGAGCTCGATGGTGCAAGTGGTTAGCGCGTTCGGCTGCGATCGTGTAGTTAAACAACTTTCGCAGTGGTCGGTCATTGGATGGGTGACCAGAAATTTACTATCTCAAGTTCCTCCGTGCTTCGGAAGACACGTTAAGACGTTGGCCCCAGCTACATCTGCAGTCGTTAGTACCCACTAATCCACACTGGGCCCGTATGGTAGTTAATGGCCCTATCTCCCTATTCCATCCATAGAGAAGGCCTGTGCCCCAGCAGTGGGGACGTTAATAGGCTGGTTATAATGATGATGATATGTAAAACTATGTTTCACAGCTAAAATACCTAAATCAAAGTCAAACTGCGTCTCAGACTCAAAATCAATTCGATATTATTATTTTTTTAAATACGTTTGATAACCACCGTTTTTTTTGTTTCATTGCTGGCGGGGGAGCGTTTGTGAAATCCTCATGGATCTGTAGGGTTACAGCCGGCTGTAAGGTTATGTCAATCTTTTCAAGTGTTTTTATACTTTTTATAAAAAAACTAATGATATTTTATTGTGGTTTTTAAACAGTTTTTTTTTATATTTTGTTGCAATGCAAGGTTTTTCGTTACAATAACTTCAACTATGTAACTATTAATGTTTTCTTCTACGGAATTTTCTATAGGTGAGAAATTTTCTTGAACCAAAGTTGAACGACTATTACTCCTAAACTAACACATTTATCTTAACCGTTATAGTTTTCCCCAAAAGTTCATAAAAAGCACTATTATTCATTATTTATTCCTGGTTTTTCAAGCTAATAGTTCATATCCCTAAATCTAAAAATAGTCTTACGAACCCCTAAATAATTTTAAAGGATCCATTTAATGATATCCCACACGATGGGGTAGATGATGAAAAAAAAGACATCCCCAGTTTACATGTAGGGGAGCTACCCTAAAAAAACAATTTTTCAAAAATTCATTCTACCTTTTTGTCGTCGTCATCGATATACATATCTCCACAAAATTACAGCTCTCTAGTGCCAATAGTATCCAAGCCAAACCGGAGACGGTCAGACGGACATGACGAAACTATAAGGGTTCCTTATCTGGACTACGGAACCCTAAAAAAGAATACAAATTCTAGCATTATTTAATACAAATTTTAGACACATACTTAAAGGCGAAGTGTTACACCAAATAAAATGTGGATTGTAAAGGAGGAAGTCCTAGTCTTACTATGATACTAGTTGGCAGAGCGCCACCAAGGAGCGATTTGATCGTCTTGAATCTAGTGCAACTCTGCAACTACATTATGATAATATTTCAGCGCGCAACCAAAACCATCCGTGTAACGGCCACTGAAGCCCAGTGATCGATAAAACTTTGTTGGTTGTTGTTAAACCTGACGAGGTATTGAATTTAGTAAGAGTTAACCTACCAAATTCTATTTAAGATAATCACGAACAAGCTTTTTATACCAATACTTAGAGAAAAATAAGATTAAATAGTATAAAACCAAATCCTTGCTAGCAAATAACCCTTGCATAATTCGCCTCGAGCTTGTTTAAGGTATTATCATCCTATGCATACAAAAGGCAAAAACTCCACCTCTAGTCGTCACAACGTGTCCTGAATATCTGAATCGCCTCGTACCCAAAATTATTAGCTTCATCTTTAATACCTATCAAGAAAGATAGCGCAAGTATTTTCCTTCAGCATTTGAGCTCAGTATTTGACCTGTACTAAAGTATTTAACTTAAGTATTTGACTTGACTGAAGAAGAAAAGTATTTGCAGTATTTATTTCTTCAGTATTAAAACGTGATGGAAACTGATGACTGATATAATTTTTATTTGTTATTGGAGCACTAGAAATATTTTTATTACAGATGCATTGTGTTTTGTAATAGATTGTGAATCTTATGCCAAGCTTAAATGAAGCTCAAAGTAAGGTGGAAAAATTTGTAAATATTGGGTAACTTGATCGGTGGCTGCTTCATGCTAACACGATTCAAGTGCAATTTCACCCTGTTTTGGTTTCGAACTTACCTAAATTCTAATGTAGATGCACCGTGATCAGCGAACAACACCACGGGCGGAGAGTAACGCTCGTTGGCGCCACAGAGTCTCGTCTCCGCTGCTCCTCCCGCGCTTTTGACAGCAGTCGCCCCGCCCAATTGTATCCATCCGCCGACACAACTATAAATAAAAAGATACAGTTACTGATTTGAATATCGATGCAAAAATAGGACAAATGATTGATAAAATTTAAAATTGTATTTTTTTTCGAATTTCTTGGTATATCTACTAACATGGCCCCGGGAAAATTATTATTTCAATATTCTTCAGTATATTTACCTACACAAGGAATCATTTCAGTGGTGTCTATTAAGTAAGCCCTTATTTACGAAATTTAGCTTTGAATGACATTTTATAAAAACTACTTTCGGTTTGCCAATAGTGGGAACTAGGTAATAGTATGCCTCGGGGTCAAAATATTCAATTTTTTGGGACATTGATCATAGCTATCTGTTTGTGACATCCCCAAGGAAGGTCCAAACCCTACTTGTCTGATCGTTTTCTATACCAATGCATACAGTCGATTGAGGCAAACACATAAGCCGATTTTGATGAAGGCAATCCATCAGAAACTTTAGATTATGTTGTGGTTCCGACAATATTATTCTTAATCATATTTTTGGGCGAAATATTTATGCTAGCTAGTAAAATCTAAAGAAGTTTAGTCAAGACCAAGGCTAAAACAGTTCCTTATTCATATAACATATTTAAGTCAATATATCTCTTATGTACTTATGAAACAAATTTTATATTTTTTTACATCTACAGACTCTTGGTCCGTACCTTTTCTGAGTTAATTAGAATTTTATGTGTTAAATTAAATACATGAGTGTTACTCCGCGCTTCCTTACTCTTGAATAACAAACTATATAACTATATTATACTGCGTATAATCTGAATGTTTGTAAAAGTATGGGTCGTTTGCAAAATATTTAATATGGCAAAAACAAAAAAAAAGATACAGCACGAACCAATATCGAATTCGTAACGTTTGCGAGACCGAAATGTCATTGTCAAGTGTGTACTGATTTTTAGTTCTCGTTACGTACTTTGTGACGTTGCTGTTCAAGTTTCCATACAAAATTTGACATTGACATTTAGCACTCGCAAACTATTCGTTTTTTTTCGCAAAGTAATGGTTCGTGCTGGGGTTACAGTACCCCTAGCACGAACCAATATCGAATTCGTATCTTTTGCGAGTCCGAAATGTCATTGTCAAATGTGTACTGATTTTTAGTTCTCGTTACGTACTTTGTGCCGCTGCTGTTCAAGTTTCCATACAAAATTTGACATTGACATTTCAATTTGCAAACTATTCGAATTCGATAATGGATCGTGCTAGGGGTACAGTACCGAAACTTGAGTCCCTGTTGACATCCAGGTGTCTCCGTATCCTTCCGTATCATCACAAGGAAAAGAGTCTCATTTGAATAAAACAATATATTTTAGTGAGTAGAAAAGGTCAGAATATGTACCGATGTTCCAAGATTTACATCTTAGCCGATGTTAAGGTATTTAACTATAGTTTACTAGAATCGGTCACAAATCGAAATCGAAAAATGTCACTCCTACCAGGTTTCAGACGGGATTCGAACCTACATCTTCCGCTATCCAGGCTGTTAATGCGTCTCCAAAAGCCCAAGGCTTCTGTTTTATAATTTAGCATAATTATTTTATAGATATTAACAAAATATGAAAATACTGCAGGTAGATCCCTCGTGATTATTAAGTATTTTGCGATCTGTATTTATACAAAACTGTGTAGCAAAATCCTAGCTCGGTACCACTATTTCTGTACATGCTGCTACGTAGGCATGTCAACGATTTAAAAGCAATTTTAATTACAATTTACACTGTAATTTTATATCGACCAATTGACGAGCCGATTGGCGATTGGCTTCGCCGTTGTCGTACATAGCAACATCGGTCCTCCGTGCGTCGCCGCTTTACTTTATTTATCATGATTATTACTAATTGCTTAATATTCCTTACTAATTATACTTAATATGCATAGCAGCTTATCCAGTTATTGGAAAATACAGTAAAAGTTGAAATCTAGGTGTTTGTTTTACCTAATAAAAAATATATTTATTTTACACGCGCGATATTAATAAGATTTTCATTTTCAAAGCACTTCATTGGTTTTTGACATAGATACAAAAATATACGACAGTTGACCTTTTATGATTATTTAGTCTTTGGTGCGATTTGTCATTGCAAAATTGTAAAGCTTTCATCCGATAGAAAATTTATTTAAAGTTACGCTTGTAGTGTTATACTTAGGGACACTACATATGTATTATAATTATGAAACCTGCAGATTTAAGTGAAGAGTGTGCGCCTCTAACGAGTATGAATGTGATACGTAGCAACTCTAATACCTCATTTCCTGGGAGTAAGAGTAACCCATCCGGTTCTCGTGAGCATTTTAGTATATTCAGCGAAACTGCCTGCGGAGAGCCGTCGACTACTCAACATTTGATATTAGATTTTACTCCAGTTGAAGAAGAGGACAACGAGTTTGTTCAAAATAAATGTTGCTCATTTTGGGAGTTCATAAATAGCAAAAAAGATTTGCAAAAGTTTATGGTCTTGCCAGTTAGTATAAAACGTTTTATATTAGTTTTATATGTCATTAAGCGAACTTTTCCACAACAAAAATAAAGGATATTTCATTCTGGAAACAGACGTTTTTACTCCAACGAAAAGTATCCTTTTAAAGTACATCTTTTGTAGGAGTTAAATGAATATAGTCTACCTATGAGCGAAGAACCGCCGAACAAGGAAATAATTGAAGATAAAACGCCTTTGAAAGAATCTACCGCCGTATCTATGCTAGGTTTCGTGGAGGAAAAAGGTAAAACTTTATTCAAAGCTATGTTAAATAACCAATGTAGTTCAAATGTACCACCAGAATTAGTTTCTCTGTTCTATAATTAATTACTCATTCTTTGCACTTTAATCTATAAAAATATCATTTAAAATGATTATTAATAATAAAAGGTCCTTCCCTACTTCCCCTCCTAGATTAAATTGATCATCAGACTAGTCTGGCGAATAGGACTTTTTTCATATTGTTGTTAAGATCATATCGATTAGAACTTCGTTCAGAAAAACCCTTGGCTACAAAAAATGCAAAAAATATTTAAGTATTTTAAATCGGTCATTTGTGATTATGTAATATATTAGCTATTTAAAAAAATTAATGCTACTTTAATAACAAGTAACAAAATCTGAATAAAAGTGGACCTGTACAAGTATGAATCACACTTGACTAATTTTTACACAGAATCATATCTTTATAATTATCTAGTGGCCCGCACTCGTTTCGCTTCGGTGTAGAGCTGAAGTGAAGACTATAGTTTTTATTCTCAGGCTTGTAATAAACACAATGACATTCTTCTTATACTTATAATTACAATAGGCACGCGCCACCAGGCCCCCCGCCCGGTAGCGTCGGAACCGCTTTGTCCCTGCATTTTAAAATCTGTAATATCTTTGAAAATATTAATTTAACTTATATGTTTTAAAGGGCCAAATTGATTTGTACTAAATATATAATGTATTTAAGGTACTTAATTGGATAAAGGATGAATCGCTTCGCAAATAAGCTATTATTTCTCGTAAAAAGTATAGAATAAAAAATGGTTATTGTGGATTATCCCTAAGAGATAGACATATACCATCCTGGTCTTTTTTGTAGACCTTTTTAAGGTGTACAATACTGTAATACATTATTTTGATCTATCTCGTAGGGTTCAGCCGGCGTGTACATGTAAGCGCAAAAAATGTGTTTATTTACGACCTTACATTAAAAACCTCTTAAATTATCAGTGTTTCTCTACTATATTATGCATGTATTATACATAAAAACCTAACTCTTGAATCACTCTATCTATTAAAAAAACCGCATCAAAATCCGTTGCGTAGTTTTAAAGATCTAAGCATACATAGGGACATAAGGACATAGGGACAAACAGCGGGAAGCGACTTTGCGAGCGCGAAGCGAGATAGGGCAGAACTGAATACCCGCTTGTATTCGAGCGCATATCTGAAGAGTTACCTCCAACTTACAGAAGACTTGTAATTTTGTTGGTAAGTACCTTTTAATACAAAAAAAGAACAAAAAATTGTTACAATGTCATTATTTATCCGCAGGTCTCATCGATAGAACTTTCGAAGCCAAACTTCCTAAGTCACTCTGTTCCCTCGGCTCACGGGAATATCATGATAACAGACAAGGGTTAAAGAAAACGAGTCCATATACGGATTCAGGTGAGTTTATAACAATAAAAAGGATCTGTGCATATTGCACAGAAATCTGGATATGTATTTTAGAAGTTGACTTTAGATATATCGTGTTTGTTATTGTCGTTCATTCTACTTTTAACATATTCTTTAAGCATGTAGAGTAGGACACGAGATGACAAAGTTCAAAATTCGTTATTGCACCATGTTGTTACATAGATCTTAGAAAATTTATAATAAATGGATACAAATATGACCCTGCTAGGCCATTCCAAATACTTAAATAAACATAAGCATAAAGTTCACGCTACATTGATAATTTAAAAAAAAATTAAGAGGTCCTTGCGATATACTTTTGTGATGACTATATAAATATGCTTTTACACCACATCATCAATCCCCACCACAGAACATAGAATGAAGTTAGAAGGCCCGGCAGGCGCGCTACAGTTATGTGTGAGCAAATGCTCATAACTTTACCAAAACTTGGTTCTGATTGCGTCGTTTGAAGGCTGATTCGTTCGATTGTTTGATGTCGCGTCGTTTGATTCACTACAATCTATTAGGTTAAAGTGTAGTGTTGGCGAGCCGGTGACACCGGTTCCCGTACAAACGGTTTAGGATCACTCTTCTAATCTCTTTCTGTGTTCTGTGATCCCCAATATGATGGCGTAGGGCTCTTGTCTTTCGAAGGGATAGAATAGGGAGAAAATGCCATGATTGGTTTGGTGGTTAACGATGGCAGATGCAGTCAGAACTAACGACTTAACATATCTTGAGATGAAAGGAGGAACTAGATATATAAAATGACGGTCATCATGCTGCGATAGGCAATAGGGAAGATAATTAACTTTTTTCTCCATCTTTCGGGTAGATTATCGAAAAATATTGGATAAGTATTTTTTCGCATAAGTAAGCAAAACATCAGACAGAGAAATATTGATTGAAAATATCCCATGACGTCACGTCTTGGTACAATTTTTACTTTGCTACAAACTTTGACGCGCTTTATCTGTTTCATTATTTGGTTGCTTGAAAAAAATATAAAATAAGTGTCCATTACCCTTTGAAAATGTAACTGACGGACTAATTTCGTTTACTTTACCCCGTCATTATTCCTATTGCGAAAGTTACATTCATAGTCCGAACCGAAAGAGGCTAACCATGATATTGACATTTTATGTTTAAAGAAGGCTAATTCCTTTACGGGTCTGGTAGAGAATTAAGGTACGATATCCAGATGACTTTCTGATTTCAGATATTCTTTAGAAACGATAATGTTTAGCTACCTATCGCAAATTTCTAAAAGTATTCTGTCCTTTGAAAAGCCCTCTTTCTTAATGATTTTATTATATTTTTATTTAATTTTTTGCGTTTAACTGCTACATTTATAATTCTGAAAAATGTTTATTAGAAATTATTCCACGCGGTCCAGGCTTCAGATTGGATTCGAACCCACACCACCTTACGGACCCTTTTCACACTCAATCGCCACAAGACGAAGATATCAGTTGCCTGATAAATTAATAATGTAAAATATAACTGCTTTTTATTTTAGAATTCTTTAAAAATGAATTTATTAAAGAAAAGACAATCGATTAACTTGCTTATGATGATTCCATCAATAATGTTAATAAGTTTCCCTCCTTTTATTATAAATTCTTTGGAAAAACTAAATTGCAATTTTTATGAAAAAACTTTACCTACAACAGAATCATAATTGTTACTTTTCAATCAAATACAGCCCAAAATAAAAAGGGTGCATGGAAAAGTTATGAGAAACGACAACCAGCATCTGGTGTTCGTGATACCTCTTCTGAAGCCAAGATACTGATGAGAGAAATGCATGAATGGGATAGAAGACATCCTTGGTGAGTTTGACATTGCACTGACTTCACAAAAACTACGATAACCAAGAAGCGTAGTCTTCTTATATTCCCAGATAAGTAATCTTGGACGGGTTCTTCGCGCTTCGCTCATAGGAGTACATTTAACATTTTTACCCGGCTGCGCAATGCAAGAGCGCGAAGCGCGACGCGCAGACAGGGTTATGTGTTTAACAGTCTATATATGTATGTTTGTTCCTTGGTGGCACACTAGAGACCAAACGCCTGGACCGATTTTGATGATTTATACATCAATCGATTCGTCTCAATCATGGGAGTGCTACTAAAGATATAATAGTAATCAAAATTCAATATGGGCAAAATTAGGCGCCATATTGTGACGAAGCAAAAAAAATAAGTTGACAAAATATGTCGTGTGGGGTATCACTGTCTAGATAATCAAAAATCATATTTAGGTTCCTAACATCATTTTTCATTTTATATGATTGTTTAGGATCTACAACGCTTTAAAGTTGTATATTAACCACTTACGCTTTTAATTTCAATCTTACGTTTGTATGGACCTTTATTACTCTTTCACCTAAAAAAAACTTATTATATATAATATATATATATATATATATATATACATATCTATAATAATTTATGTAGTTATTGAGTGAATTGGGCAATATATAACAATAAGTGTCACATAAGACGGAAAAAAATCTCCCATCTGCGAGCCATTTTGGCCTGCACTGCAAAAACAATAAAAGTTACATGAATGTAATATAGAGTGAAAATGTATCTCTTAAATAGTTCTAAAAAAAAGTCCGTGACACCATATATCTATTTTTAATGTGTAAGTCATTACCGCTAAAATAGTGAATCAAAACTAAAATATTATTTGATATCTATTTCCAAAATGCACATTTTGTATTAACAAATCATTTTTTATCAAAACAAATACTTATACCGCTTTTGATATTTAAAGAAGATAAACTTTGATTTTAACACTATGTCATTTCGACAAATATTTAAAAAGTTACAACGATGACAAAGTGATAGCGCGGTGTACTATGTAAAAGAAAAAAAATGGGGTATTCGCAGTATCTGATCCTATACGAAGTACTAACAATAAATTCTTATTAAATGATAAAAAATATATTATCATAATAGGTATTTATGATTATTGAATTTTAATGAAAAACTCAGAATTTTACTGTTTTTCATTTTTTTAACGATATTACTCAATGTTACAAAAAAGGTTTACTTAATATAATGACAAATAACCCATTTTTCGCTAGTAAGTACATACTTATTGGAATCCCTGTATTTATTAATCAGCTCGCGATAATATTGGTTTTGTAAATAAAAAAAGGTAAATCACCCCTTTCATCACCCTACGCCTATAAGTATTGCGATGTTGCAGCTAAGAACCAAGTTCCCATCTACTTCTATATGGGAATTCATTATATTCGGTTTAGCTATTAGGGCACGGAAGCGCAACAAACAAACTCACTTTCGCATCTATAATATTATATTATACTTACTAGTGATCCACCCGGGCATTGTACGGGCGAAATTTATTTATCGGGATAAAATATAGCCTATGTCACTCGGACAAAATGTATTTAAATAAAGAAAAATGTTATAATACATAATGTAGCTACCTTATGTTGAATTAATATTTGAAACCGGTTTAGTAGTTTGACAGATTATTTGTTACAAACATACAAATCTTGCCTCTTTATAATATTAGTATAGATAGTTTGAATAAGATAAGTATTTAATTGATGAAAAAGATTTAAAAATAAAGTAAGTAATACGTTTATTTGATTATATTTGTAAAAGTTACTTAGCATTTGTGATTAACATTGATAGGTTATTCGGTATTTTTTTTAAAAAATTAGATATTCAGGAATACATAATATTTTTCAACAGTGGGTCCCGACTGTTAAAGTAGCTTTGTTCCTTATTAACAGAATTATAGACTACTGGTCTTGTTTTTTTCTTTTCAGTTTTTATTTGAAGTATAATTAAGCAGTCGGGTTTTTTGATTTTTTAAATTTAACTTTTTTATTTCACACTTTTTAGTTAGTTAGTATTTTAAGACGGTATATACCGTAGTCTTGTTACTTCAGTAAGGGAATTAATATAGCGGGAATTATTAAGTACCTTGCGTCGGTCTAAGAGATTGATTTATTAAGACATATAAAGACTTTACCAGCGGGGTCAAGGCTACAGATGCGCCTCAATTTTCGCAAAAATGTGTGAAGTTAAATCAAGTCGTTACATAAATATCTATAATGTATGTAAATTTTATAGTAAACTAGCACTTACTCAAAAAGTCATCTTTTGTTTATGTTTTTTTGAATAGTTTAGCAGTGAATATAAAATTCATTTACTTTTATTCGTCGACTATTTAAAATTGGCAGTGGCTGCATTGTCATGTCAATGCCGGACGTCTAAGATTGTGATGTGTGATACATAGGGTTGCAACGATATATCGGAATATCGATAATATCGATAATATCGAGACCAAAATATCGATATTTATATCGATATTTAAAATTTACTGATATCGATAATATCGATATCGGAAATTCCAAAATATCGATATTTCGTAGACTGAATTCAAACACAATAATATCAATTAATTTACCTGCTATGACTATCTAAATTGAATAATATCGGAATAACTATTGCTTTGAAATCGCAAGAGCTTATAGTTGTATTAAAAAAATCTTGAACCCCAAGAAATATACTAAACTGGTGTGGATTCTGGCATGATTCTCTCAACCTAAAATTAAATTTGACAACAGTGTATCCTTGTCATTCTCTATACAGAATGACAAGGAGAGACTGATGTTAAATTTAGTTTTAAGTTTAGATAATCATGCCAGAATCGACACCAACGTATATAGGTATAATCGTATACCTAATGGTAACTCTTGCACTTAAATAAAATCCTTGCCTCTCTTTCTAGATAATTGTCAACTACTGATTAATTGAAATTAAATATCATTGTAATATAACACAAAATAAAATTAAGAATCTTATACAAATCGTAAATTTTTAAGCTCGCCAAGTCAAGAAAGTAAGATAGGTATAGTAATTTTTGAAGCTTTGGGCTTACCCTATTCTGAAGCCATGGGCTCAGGCATCAGGGGCGTCCCTGATGTGTGGGAGACTAAGCAATTTGCGTATTTGATGTGCGCTAAAAAACCGACATAGTTTGGAAAAGCACGAATGTAGTGAAAACTTAGCGAAGGCATTCGCAAATGTCGTCCCACATATGCGGGTTGGCGCATTCGTGCTAACAAATGTGAGTGATCTGATCAGGATAATAATTTTAATTTTTTGGTTTCCTGTCGTGGCACAAACCGTGCGAGCCAAAAAAAAATCCTGCTGGGCGCGATTTCATCAAGCGTGTTTAAAGAAAAAGCTGGCTCAATGCATTTTGCGAGAAATTTGCCAACAAACATATGAATGTGTCACACTCACCCCGTATTCTAATGTCCATAAAAAAAAAGAAAAAATATCGATATATCGATAATATCGAGTTAAAATGGTTGATATATCGGATATCGATATTTTCCTGACTTCGATATAAATATCGATATAATATCGATATTTCAAAAGACTTTGCATCCCTAGTGATACACAAATTCAGTGTCAGTCCCTAGTCTCATAATTTGATATACCTACATAATTCACAGAAACCCAATATGTAGATGCCAGAAGTTAACTTCAAATGTTTTTAATCACCCTATATACAATACCAATCAATGACGTTTATGTCGCAGGCTGAAGAAAGCAGCAATTCCCGTCTGTTGTTTTGGACAATGGTGGCAACTGCCTTAGATCACTAAATTAAATAATTATGCAATCACCAAAGCAAAGTTTATAATATTTTATTAAACTAAAGGCGCATAATAAAATTTTCATAACGTTAGGTAGAGCACCATAGCAATCTCATTTATTATCAATTTATAGTTCTCTTTGTAGTTTTCTTTTAAAGCGTTCACATTTAACAGGTCAAAGACTTTGTGTTCGACCCTTTTTTATTGGTAGTGTAAAGCTCGAATGAAGAGTACTCCCAGTAGTGCAATCATGGCAATTATTTTCCATTTTTTTTTGTTTAAAAAAATACCGAATAACCTATCAATGTTAATCACAAATGCTAAGTAACTTTTACAAATATAATCAAATAAACGTATTACTTACTTTATTTTTAAATCTTTTTCATCAATTAAATACTTATCTTATTCAAACTATCTATACTAATATTATAAAGAGGCAAGATTTGTATGTTTGTAACAAATAATCTGTCAAACTACTAAACCGGTTTCAAATATTAATTCAACATAAGGTAGCTACATTATGTATTATAACATTTTTCTTTATTTAAATACATTTTGTCCGAGTGACATAGGCTATATTTTAACCCGATAAATAAATTTCGCCCGTACAATGCCCGGGTGGATCACTAGTAAGTATAATATAATATTATAGATGCGAAAGTGAGTTTGTTTGTTGCGCTTCCGTGTCCTAATAGCTAAACCGAATATAATGAATTCCCATATAGAAGTAGATGGGAACTTGGTTCTTAGCTGCAACATCGCAATACTTATAGGCGTAGGGTGATGAAAGGGGTGATTTACCTTTTTTTATTTACAAAACCAATATTATCGCGAGCTGATTAATAAATACAGGGATTCCAATAAGTATGTACTTACTAGCGAAAAATGGGTTATTTGTCATTATATTAAGTAAACCTTTTTTGTAACATTGAGTAATATCGTTAAAAAAATGAAAAACAGTAAAATTCTGAGTTTTTCATTAAAATTCAATAATCATAAATACCTATTATGATAATATATTTTTTATCATTTAATAAGAATTTATTGTTAGTACTTCGTATAGGATCAGATACTGCGAATACCCCATTTTTTTTCTTTTACATAGTACACCGCGCTATCACTTTGTCATCGTTGTAACTTTTTAAATATTTGTCGAAATGACATAGTGTTAAAATCAAAGTTTATCTTCTTTAAATATCAAAAGCGGTAAAAGTATTTGTTTTGATAAAAAATGATTTGTTAATACAAAATGTGCATTTTGAAAATAGATATCAAATAATATTTTAGTTTTGATTCACTATTTTTTTCAAAAAACCCGACTGCTTAATTATACTTCAAATAAAAACTGAAAAGAAAAAAACAAGTCCAGTAGTCTTTATTTCTGTTAATAAGGAACAAAGCTACTTTAACAGTCGGGACCCACTGTTGAAAAATATTATGTATTCTTGAATATCTAATGGGTCCCGACTGTTAATGTAGCTTTGTTCCTTATTAACAGAATTATAGACTACTCGACTTATTTTTTTTCTTTTCAGTTTTTATTTGAAGTATAAATAAGCAGTCGGGTTTTTTGATTTTTTAAATTTACCTTTTTTATTAATTTATGAAGTAGTAGATCTGCAACATTCGGCGGTGCTTAATATATTATAAAAAGCTAAAATTATCTCAAAACTGGAAATTGTAGCCACTTACCATGGCCATTATCGTCTAAACGACCAGTCACTAAAAGCTTCCTATTTTTATTATAATTTGTAAAGTAATATATAAATGGCTCTTCGAATGTTGGCTAAATTACGCGATGGTTATCTAGCTAGAGAGCTTCTCATTTCCTATATTACCATGCACTTAGGTAAAATAGAAATTTGCACTTTCATAAATTAACTACTCCAGCCGAGCGGTTCACTAAGTGACACTTATATTCGTGGCTGTAAGGCAGCCAGTGATAGGATGCTGTAAAGATTTGCCGTTTATACAGAGAATGCACTGAATGAACCAACTGTGAATTATAAAGGCGTAGTAGACATATCATTTCTTCGTGAGGCGATTACGCTACGATTCCGATTAGTGTGCGTTGCAGAAGGGACTCCTATACAAAGAATACTGAACACAAACGATTTAGAGGCCAATAGTTTGTACTGGCTGCACCATTACTTTCTTGTATACTAGATATTTGTCAATTTCATGCATGTCTCGCTCAGTCAATGTTTTTTTAGTGTCGTGTATTTGCTGTATAATGCAAGGTCACATTTGGTTCATCGTGCTCGTCCTTGAAGCGCCAGTGTTTCATACAGAAGAGATTCTCATACAAAGAATACTGAACACAAGTCATTGTGAGGCCAATAGTTTGTACTGGCTACACCATTACCACGGTAATAATATCATACAGTTTTCTATCTTCATACATACGGTCGGAAAGCGAGTCATACCTACGCCACTCGAGTTCGATGGGCTCTCGGCGGGCACCCAGTCGCGAATGCGCCGCGCCGCCGCGCCGCAACGACGACCGAACGGTCCGAATTGTTTTTTATGCAGTTAGCCGTGCTTAAACGTGCGTTTGGTATTGTAAATATTTGATTTAATTAAGTAGATACCTACATAATTTAGTATGGAAAAGAACAAACGACTATCAATATATATATCAATATCGTACAACAGCACAATTGCTGTTTTTGGTTGCTTGAACTCTTCAATAACACATCCAGAGATATCATTTTTTAAATTACCTGAAATATTGGAAAGGTGTCTTACCTTTATAGAATATTTTTTATATACCTATCTACTAGTATGTAATTTGTTTCTAATATTTAGGTATTTCGGTTTTTCCATCGGGCAAAATATCTGGAATAATATATAAATAAGTTTAGTGGTTAGGATGAAAAAAGAAACAAACGAGTAATCTACCTACACTCGCGTTAAAAACAAAACTACATAAAATACTGTAGGCGGGCGGCCCTACCGCATGCTAACGCAGCGCTCGGCCGTAGGCATTTATTTTAAAGGACAGGGCGGAGTCACAATTCTGTATAGATAATATTACCGTGCCATTACTTGCTCGCATACGCGCCAGTATTTCATGTGGTCGTGAAACGATCGATGCAATGATATAATTTCACAGTAAAATTGTATCACAGCGTTCTGAACTCGGATCGAATTACCCTAAATTTTAGAGCAAATTTCAAAATTTTCTTAAATAAAATAACATGTAACACATTGAAGATAAGGTATTTAAATCCAATATGGAAGCAAATCTTAGACATAGCACCTACTAGCTGATAAATTCCATGCAGATGGTCAAACCTTTAATTAAGGTTCAATATCCTAATACTATAGCTAAGCCTCCTTTATTGGTCCGTCCGTCATTCCATCCATCCGCCTGTCAGCAGCATAAAACTCAAAAGCTGTAATCATGGAGCAACATGGAAGGGAGTAGTCATAACGACATAATACTATTCAAATACTACTGTATTCAAATCGTTCTGCCATTTTTTCCGGGGAGACAATATGCACACAAATGCACTTTAATGTACTTGCGTAAAACAAAACTGTAATAAGGATACTCATACATAAACTATTACGTGATTTACCGCCAAATCCTGTACCTCGTTTTTATGCCCAATGCGACAGAGAGGAAAGTTGTGTATGCCTGCTTCCATCCTGGCCGCGTTGACCGTGTTGCTCTATGCCCGTAATAGGTTGACGGTTGGGATCACCACAGAATGTGTTTTTCTATTGCTGCTTAACGACAAATAATGGAAATTCATGGGACTTCCTATACAAATGATCAAGAGTGCCTTAATGAGGTTTTTTTGCTCGTGCAAGTGTTTAAAAGCTGGTGCGGCAGATTGTGTAATAGACGTGTATCGTACGTATTAGCCACATGGGATTACACAATAATACTACGGCGTAAGACTTATTACATTATACTGACATTCAACGAAGTTAACGATACAAAGCAAATGGGCCTACTGCAAGATTGATTCCTTAGGCGACTTGCTCGCCGGGTCGGTGCGGGCTCGTTTCGTTTTCGTTTCCGAATATGTGCAGATTAATTACCCACTGCATATAATTAAATGAGAGCTCTCTTACTAAGCAGTCTCAGTACAGAATATTTCTCTGAACTGAGCGCTACCGAGTGCTTCCGAATTCGACCGAGCCATTCGACTCGCCCGTCTCGTCACTCCCGCAAACAAAACCATAGCTAACAAAATGTCAACAAACAAAACAGAGCCGGTCAAGAAGAGCTCATATATAATTTATTATGAACTGCCTTATTATGCATTTTTTGAAGGCTTGAGTTGCTTGCTTATACTATAATTTTGTGAAAACATTCTTATTTTCCTTTTCTAGTACTATGGATCCTCCTGGTCACCTACCGGCACTAAGTTACTGCGTTCTACAAAGGAAACTCCTCAATCAACGATAACGTAATAAATCAGCCTGGGAAGACCCGTTTTATCGCCGTCCAAAGGTTTTCCCGCATAGAGAGACACACCAGGAGATCGGCCTATAACAATACTTATCCCGCATTTCTTGGTAAAAATACTCTTAGAATCCCTTAGGCCGATGTTATTTTGGGCATGTGTTAATGATTGATATTCATTATCTCCGAAGTGGTTCGTGATGAATCATGTGCGTTAATAATATTTATAACCATTATAAGGTACAAATAACCTAATTAGCCGTTGGTAGATGTATCTTTATTCTTTGTAGACGTACCAGAAAAACATTAAGTAACATAGTAGTTGTGACAGAATAATAAAATAAATATCATTCTCTCTTATTAATAAACGAAGGATCGGTTGGACTTTTTACGTCGTATTTTGTTTACATTAAAATGCATTGTTTTGTTTTTATTGTGTTCTATGTGCTTTATTTAAAATAACATTCAAATAATATAATAAAATTTGTTTTTCGATGAAGAGAGACAATACAATTTGTAACTGCAAGTAAGTGGTTCTAGTTTATTCATTGTATATTATTATAGGGGATTTAAATAAAAAAGAGACCTGTAAAGACACTTTATTTAATATTAGGCTCTTAGTCGCGCGACTACCTGAAGTTGCACCTAGCCTCAGTATAGTGGCAAACTGGGAGACTAACCCAGGTGGGAGAGTTGAATAAAAATCTTTCGAATTTTCATTTAAATCTAGCGCAATCAAAACGTCAATTCGTTTATTGGTCACATTTATAACTATTTTTTGTGATTACTAAATTTAAATACAATTTTGAAAGAGGGTTCCTCTTTCCCGCTTGGGCAAATCTCCTGGTTTTCCCCTACCCTATCACCAGGGAGCTCATAAAACCTCTTACAGTAAGCTTATGGTGGTAACTTAATGTCCAAATTACTTTGACAGCACCTAAACAATTTTTAGGACTACAACAATTAAAGTCTCCAGACGTTCTAGTCATCTTTCATGACTCCATTCAATAGGAAAAAATATCCGCTTCTCCATAAAGGTAATTTTTTCACATAACCTTCCTTAAAACACCTAATCAAATAAATAAAATGTAGGGTTGCGTTAAAAATAAGAAAATAGATGTTCATATGTCCTATATATATAAGTATTGATAAAAATAAAAAATGATTCTCAAAAATTTTATTATACATAAAAAGAGAATAATATTTTGTTACGTAACGGAAGATTGTATTAATGTCTATACAAAATATCATTACCTACGAGTAGTTAACCTAATTGATGAATTAAATAGTGAAACGAAGTTAAAATGCAACACTATTTCTTAGTATTTTATTTATAATGTTTATTTTCTTATAATGCTTAGTACCTTAAGTATTTATAACTTTACTTTTAATTACTTTTTAATTTTGATTGTAATATTATGTGTAGCTATAATTTTATATTTATTATTAAAGTTAACTCTCAAGCATGGTATTTTTTATGAAGAACAACATTTTTTGTGTGCTGCCAAAAATGATTATCTTCTCGGGCTGTTAATATGAAAGTATAACATAGAAGAAAAGAGAGTCCATTTTCAAAAGTTTATAATAATGGTTAAAGCGGTCCCAATAGACATTGTACTGCGACTAACTATAGGCTATATTCTCGCTCAAGAAACGTACATTAGATATATATTCCATGTAAACAAAAGAGAGCTCAGCGTTGCTGGCTTGTCTCAAAATGCACGCGCGTTCATTTTTGCTCAGGATTGTTTTCGCGAGCAACTACATACTCGCTTCCCGGTGCTCGCTAACTAGTTTCTATCTTTACTCGCTTCTCGTTCATCATTGGCGGTGGCACAACTGTCTAAATAAGTCAGTTCACTTCTATTTTAAATTTATTCGTTACAAAATATAACAAGTCTTTCCTTCTTTTCTTCTTCTTTCCTTGTTTTTTCGAACTAAACTAAACTAACTAAAAAGGGACAATAATTGAAAGAGTGCCAAGGATTGGGTGGTTTCCCTATATAAATAATAAGTGTACAGAGAACAGTATCTATATACCTGCTTCTATTGAATCTCCCCACCGACACCAATCGGTACAGTTGTTTCTTAAACTCTCAAACTCTTTATTTGCTCCATGCGTTGACCGGCATCGGGCTGCAGCAGGTACGAGCAAGACCCTAGGCCCTCTATCGACGGCGACTTGATCTGACCGAACGTCTTCCTAGATAGCTTAATTAGTACCTGCTTCCGTTGAATCTCCCCACAGACACCAATCGATACGCTTATATCTCCACGCGTTGACCGGCATCGGGCTGCAGTAAGTACAAGCAGGATCCTGTGCTCTCTATTGATGGCGCCTTGATCTGACCAAACGTCTTCCCCGATAGCTTAATAAGTACCTGCTTCCGTTGAATCTCCCCACAGACACCAATCGGTACAGTTGTATCTCCACGCGTTGACCGGCATCGGGCTGCAGCAGATACGAGCAGGACCCTGGGCCCTCTATCGACGGCGACTTGATCTGACCAAACGTCTTCCCCGATTTGGTCTTCAGAATTCGTGAGTCAATGGTGATGTTACACACTGGTGAGAAAACGTGCACGTTATCGCAATGAAAAATAACACTTTATCAACCAAGCAACTAAATATTCCTTACTGTGTAAGTTTTTGACGTTATTATCGGTCGATAATATCGGAAGAGTTATTACGATATTTTGTCATATTACTAGTGCGTCATTATTATCGCAGCAATGTGTAACGTTGTCGTAGCCGTTCTCATACATAATGTATTAAAATCCGATATCAAAATAACGCATCACATTTTATCGACTGATAATATCGCGCCTATGGGGGGAGTCCTTATTGTATTAAAAGACTCAAACGCAAATTTATACTATCTATATTCGGTGACACATTTAAAACTCTAAAAATGAAATTTATTGCAAGTATTTACTTCGAGTTACCGATTGTCCTCTCTGTATACCAGACAATTTTATTTTTATTTATTTACTATTAAACGACTACGTCGTGTCTGTATCTAACAGCATTAAGCATGGTGCTAAGAATCCTGAGGATGTCACATATGGATGATGACTAACTTTTTTTGCTTCGTCTATCAAGTAGATTATCAAAAAGTATTAGGCAACAAGTATTTGAAATGTCCCATTAAGTAAAGTTGCTACTCCCAGCTAATCACTACTCCTAAACTTTGACGCGCTTTATCTTTGAAATTTTTTAGGTTGGTTGGCAAAAGAAAAAAAAATATGTGTTCATTATTTTTTGATAATCTAATTAACAGACTAAATAGAATTTCATTTATTTTTCTCCGTCATCATCTCTATTGTCATTGGTATTTTTTATCACACAAGTCATTACTTACTTGACAAACCTTCGAAAAAAATGTACTGTTTCATATATCTAGGTATTAAATGACCGATTCTACACATCTACTATTCCACCAACTTCAATGGGTATTTTCACATAGGTATTTGATGAATTAATTTTTTGCTTACCCGGATTCAACATAGTAGTAATGGTATTGAATACGCAGCATTCAATTTCGACTGTCAGACAGAAAGGATAAAAGATAATTAAAATGGGACGTGACCAAGCAAATCGTAAAAAACGCGGTTGAAATCTCAATGGACAAGTATAACCGTTCTGACGGTTTGGTATTGCGTAAGGGTTAATAATGGACTGCTATTCAAGGAAAAGGTAAACATTATTTGGCTTTCAATACCCAAAGGAGCTGCCGGTACCAGCTAGACCGTTCTCAATTGTCTCCCATTGTTTGAGCTTATAATTGCAACATTAAACATTATGCTTAATCGTTCTCGGTCGAGTTTTAATTGGTCTTATCTTACAACACAGTGTGGCGTGTTAACTTCGAGTAACTTGAAAATTGTAAATGCGTTTTGTTGAACCGCGAAATAACGATGCGATATCTGATTCTGTATTGTTAATATTAAGATGGGGCTATTGTGTTCTATCGGTTTAGTGATTACTGTCAACGAAATCTTGATATTTATAAATTACGCGTCACGTTGTTTCTCTGGGATTGTCTCCTAAACTACTTAACCGATTTGAATCAAATTTGCACACCCTTACATCTCAATTTATAGTTGCAAATTTATTTTATTGCCATAGATTACTTTTGGGCGGTACGAATTTCGTACCGTCGAACGTTCGAAGTAAATAATAAAGTGTTTTAAAGTTAATGTCAGCTGTGAAGTTAGCGCGAGCCGCGGCGTAGTAAACTAAAAATAAGTAAGCTATGCGAGGTTTACTGAACTAAAACCTGCATATAGTTGCGCTCGTTGCTAACTTCACAACCGCCATAAAGATTGAATCACTATACTGCACTTACTATTGGCACAGTACTGTTCGAGGCCGCATTGCGCGCATCTTGCTGGTGCAATGTCACCACATGGGCATGCGCCGTCCCGCACGCAGCACGCGCAGTCCTCGCCAATGCCGCCGGGACAGGCGCAACCAGTCGACGACTGTGTCCACAGATCCACTTGGCCTGTTGTAAAGGCAATGTTACTTTAATGTCTGCATAACTTTGCACAAGTAGGAGGAACTTATCATCAGAAATGATTTTTTTATGTCTTCCTTAATGGTTTTACATATAATTGATATGTAATTCGCATCAGGGAATGGTAGAGCAGGAAATTGGACTTATGGATTTGTGTAGGTAAATTTAAAATAAGTACTCTACCCTTCGTCACCGTTGTGCCCTTAGAAATTTTTATTCTTTTCCTGCCACTTTTTATTAGATTTGATGCTTATTTTTTGGCAAATTTAATTTTGTTTACTTTTGATCCCATCTCATTAATATTCAGCCTTTGTGTTTGATATCCCGTACTTCAAAAGAAATAAGGAACCCTTATCGCTCGGCTGTCCATAACTAAAGCCTAGCAAGTACGTGTGACTTAATTATAGAGGAGAAGACATGAAACATTTTCTTCTGTCATTTAGAATAGAATTCCTTTTTTTTGTATTTTTTTTTATTTATTTATAATCAGGCTACATAGGCCCATAGATAAAATACCTTATAGTCTAACATATATACAGATCTAAAACATTGTTGTTAGTAAATAAAATTATTAACTATATTAGTAAACACTTAATATATTTATGCTTATCTTTATTTCTCATGAATAATTTTGACTTCTTTTACTTAACAAAATATTTAAATTGAACTTAAGTGCATTTGTACAAGTTTTATGTGCCTTGCTAATGACTACTTTAGATACTTCAAGATATTAATAATACTAAACCAATAGTAAAAACCTAGTAAGACCTACCTAGGGTTTTTTAATTAACATTTTCGTAACCAGCAACCCAAAAAATCACAATTACGATACCCATATTGACTTAGAATTATACCGTAACACCGTTTCACCCCTTAAGGGGGTGATTTATGAAAAATTTAAAAGACTTATTAAGTTATTTATTTTTAAAGTATCCCTTTCTTCAAATTGTAAACTCTATTTTCTACTCCATACACAATTTGAATCCCCATTTCACCCCTTAAGGGGATGATTTTTTAAAAATCGTTAAAAACCAATTTTTTATTTGTTGTCAAAACTACGCATACGAAATTTCAAGTCAAATTGTCTAAAAAATTTTCGCGCCTATTTCACACTGCCTTACTATTATTTATTAAAGGCATGATTTGATAATCTCGTTCTAAACTTCAGTAATTTTGTAAACCAAAACCCTAGTACGGAACAACTACAAGTTTAAAAACTTAGTAAAAGACCAATTCTAAATTCAAAAGCCCAGTCAGTTCAATTCACAAGTTCAAAAATCTAGCATGTACCGTATGTAATAGGTTATAGTTCTTGACTAGCTTTTGTAACCACCAAGTACGAAGTGCACTTGCTAGGCTCGTGCACGTTCATTACTCATTCTATTTAAGATAGAAATACAGTTGTTTTGCCATAGACGTAGCTAAATATTTTGGAAATATTGATTTTAAAACGTGTTTGAGAAAAAATGTCCCTTGCTAGGTTTTGGTTTTGGACAGCCGCTGTCTTGCTGACAAGATCCTTGGTCAAGAACGCACGGAAGAATTGAATTAATATAAATAATATAAAAAATATATGAAATAGGTTGTTACACGGTCAAGCTAATTTCAAAGAGATAAAATTAAATGTAATGGCAATTTAACTAAAAAATAAGATCTACATTATTATTGTTGACTCCAAGAAATCCAAACTCAAAGTTATTATGATAGTTGTTTGTCAAATAGAAAAATCTTAGGATATTTGTTGTGAGAATTAAAACAATAAAAATAAAAATATACATTAGTCAGTTTACGAAAATAATAAAACGACTAAGTACAAGTCGGACACGAAGGGTTCCGTATCATTTCACAATGTTCAATACATTGTGAATTGATTACAAATGGAATTTTCCATTCCATTTGTAAATTTAAATGTTCACATGATGATTTTTCATTTATATACTCACGATATTTTCCAATGCTCATAATACTTAACCATTTATGAATAGGCATAAAATATTAAAACCTAAAGACACATCAAACTGTAACCGAAACGGCATTTAGAATAAGGATGCCTTCTTATTATAGTTTTCGGAAGTGCGACCTTGAGGACGACCGAAACGCGCTGAGGCGACGCTATAAAAACTAATACGGACCAAACGTACCTAAAGGATGCTCAGGGATGCGAGAGTCCGCAATATTAAGAAGGAAATTGAAATGTGCTCGTGAGTCAAATAATCCAATTTTACGCGAATGTCATAGCCTTTTATATCGATACCTTACTTTTATAGCCGCATAATACAAACATTTCTTCCCATTACAATATTTAGTGTACAGTACTTACACATAATGCATAAAAGCTTTGTGTTCGTACCTCACCTTTAAACCGGATATCCAGCACGTGTTTTGTCCAACACAATCAACAAAAGCATAATATATGTGCTGTATAGTGTCGATGATAATATAATTGATAAATGAAACACTAAGTCCTTCGATAGTAAAATATTCTCAATAAAATACAATGATAATTTTATATGATACATGATTAGCGTGTTGCGTTTGACATAATAATATGATTCCGGACTGATTCATTAACGTCGGAAATGACCTAAAATCAAAGTGCTTACAAAGGTGTTCGGTTGCATTGCACCGCACATGCTCCCGACAGGACGAAGTAAGGATACGTAAAATGCTCTAAAATGTTTCAAAAGTACTGTAGATAAAAAATATAAAAAATGCTATAACTTCGGTGTTCGGTTGCATTGCACCGAGCAGCATATATTATCAACATTCAACAAAACCGTCTACACAAAACTTTGTTTCACTATGTATATTTGTTTGCATTAACAAAATTTTTGCTTTTCGGGCCACGGAAATGGAAAACATGTTTCATCGTGCATTTTTTGAAAACTCGCTAGAGGAGGCTGCGGTCTAAGCAGTTCCAAGCCTCCGAATGCAACTTATTACTCTGAGGTTTAAATTTTGACATATTATGTATGACACTAATGTCAAATTTGAAATCTTGGACCTGGATCGTCGGATCGGTTTGGAACGCACCCCTGTGTATTTTGTGTACGACAGTCACGTGAGCAGTAGACGGCGTGTGTAGAGAAACATGTTTCAGAAACAGAATTTAGTGTAAGAGTTTTTGTTGAATGATTTAAAAAAATTGCTGGAACCCTGGCTTTAAATGAATAGCGGCGGATAGCGGAGCAGCAACGCCGCGTGGAAAAACGTATGCTCATGCGGAGGCCGCGCCGTATCAGTACCACACAGTTGAGTAAACGTTATAATAGCTTTCTACGAAAAAGTATATCTCCAAACCAGTGGTTAGCTACCTCGCCTGATGTGATCTACGGTAAGTTAAGAGAGGTAGGGAGCAGCGGATTTGGAGCCCGTCTAGGTAAAGCAACCTCTACCTCACAGAAGATCACAGTAAAATTACACTACCTTTTGGTGGTGTTGTGTTTCCGCTGGTGAGTAGGGTTCCAGGGCTCCGCGGAGTAGGTTGGGTAAGCGGATTGGTTTCAGACCGGTAAGGTGAGGATGACTGAAGCGGCACACTTTCTGCCGCGTCATCTACCTTCGCGACTGGATTATACTTACACTTAGCATCAGGTGGGGTGGTGTAATTTGTTATGCCTCCTTTAAATATATAAAAAAAACCTTCCTTCACGAGCTTCAACGGAAAGCGTGGTGAGAGGATAGCTAGGATACCTTATGTGCTACTGTAGTTGTTATCACTTCCTGCAGTCCTTTTTTACGGTCGGATTAATCCACATTAAAGCGCTCCCGACCCAGATTACCATTAAGAACTTCTCACACGAGGGCAACGTTGGCACACTTAGCATTTTTTTATTTCCTTTAGGAGCAAACGCTAGCGATGAGGCCTGAGGCATCGTACTGATTGGCAACGATTATGCGATGATACGGTACGATCTCATCGTGCAATGAAAAAAATGTACCTTTCTCTGCTCATGCGACACCTTATGAGCTGTATTAGGACATTTCTGAATAAATCTTTGTTTGCACTTTTCGCACGACAAGATCGCATCGTGTCATTTTACGACCTGTGCCAATTAGGACGACACCTAAGACTCAAAGTTTATCATAATTCACGATTAATCTCCCGGTTGATTTAATAAATAGGTATATTTGTATTAGTCAAGCTATGGGGCGACCTCAACACTGTCTTATACCTAGTCAGGTCCTAAATTCTGTCACATGTTTAATATAAAATAATGGAAACAAGTTTATTCATTATGTAACCATTTATATACCAAAATGAACTTCACAAAACATAGATTCTTATGACAATAAAGTTTATTCAAAATGACCTCCGTGATTTTGAATACAGGCCTTCAATCTGCGCTGCCAGTCGTCTATCGCAGCACAAACGAGGTCCATGTCAATATCGGCGGCTGCCTTAATCAAGGATGCCTTGAGTGACTCCAAATGGGGATGAGGCTTTGAGTACGCTTTTTCCTCCAAGTGTTGCCATATCTTGTAATCTAACGGACTCAAATCTGGACTGGAGGAGGGCCAGTCTTCGTGCCCGATGAAATCGATTTCACGCGCCGCCAGCCAGTCTTGTGTGCACTTCGCTCTATAAGCTCGCCGAGTCTTGTTGGAATACCCAGTGCCTGTTATTGAACATGGTATGAGAAACAGGTTCCACAAGGTTCGTCAGGACTGTATTTTGATACAGAACTGCATCCGTTTTTACACCTTTCTCACAAAAATGTACCTCTGTTAAGCCCCAATAAGAAACTCCCAACCATACCATGAGCGAGGATGGAAAATGACCTCGTTGGACACGCGGAATACGGTTGCTCGCTCCTTCACTACTGTGTGCGTACACCTTATCATTTGGTTTGTTGTGGTTTTCTTCTACGGTAAAAAATTTTTCATCCGGAAAAAGAATTTCCCGATATTTTATTTCCGCGTACCGCTTCAACAAAGCGCGGCATCTCTTCAGTCTCAAGTCCATTAGACGAGCATTCAAACGATGTCCTGTTTTTCTTCGATATGCCCGAAGCCCTAAGTCTTTATTTAACACCCTTTTCACCATGGTTCTGCTTAACCCCATCTGAAGGGCCAACAGTTTCTGCTTACGTTTGGGATTTCTTTGAATTCGCGCCTTCACAGCTTTTATCACTGCTGGAGTCCTAACAGACCGAGGGCGACCACTTCTAGACCTGTCATCTACACTAGAGTCTTCATTGTATCGTATCGTTTGATGATACGATAAACGAATCTTTTGGTTATATTCAAAATTTTCAGTATGTCAAAAATTTGAATTGGCGCGTAACCGCAACGATGCAACGCAATAACTGCAACACGGTCTTCTTTAAGCGTCCACTCCATATTTAAAAATGAGTAAAATTCTAAAAATAATACATTTTTATTTTCATGAATAATTCGAAATTCGAATTCAATAAACTTTTTTGTGGCCAGCATTCTAAAAGATAAGTTTTTATAATTTTTATTATTTTTAAAGCATGTAACTGCTTGATGTTTAAATCTAAAGAAAATATAACTAGAAAAAATTCCACGCGGACCAGGCAGCAGACGGGACTCGAACCCGCACCCTTCGCAATCCGGGCGAATGCACTGACCAATTATGCTACCGCGGCCCTCAAGGACCGCGTCGAAATTCTTTCTAGCTATTCTTAAGCTGCAGGGCAGCGCCATCTCTTCGCATTATAGGTAAACCCACAATGTCAAATGAATACTTTTACAAGTATTAAACATTTGAAAGAAGAAATAGCAATTATAGTTATAATTTTTATTATTTTTAAAGCATGTAACTGCTTGATGTTTAAATCTAAAGAAAATATAACTAGAAAAAATTCCACGCGGACCAGGCAGCAGACGGGACTCGAACCCGCACCCTTCGCAATCCGGGCGAATGCACTGACCAATTGACCATTGGTCATAAGTTTTTACTGTGTGACAATACTTAAGACCTGATTATGTATTTGTTTAACCATCATCATTATCAACCTTTAATGTTCCCACTGCTGGTACAGGATTTCCCTATAGGTGGAATAGGTCAATTGTGCCATGATCCAGCCAGCCAGTTTGCTTTGTACCATGGTAACATGGTACTAACGACTGAAGATGTCGCCGGGATCATAGGGTTGACTGCGCGCCGCCTTATACCAGAAGACAGAAGTGCCAAATATAGAAGATAAGAACTTACATGAACTGACTGACAATAAAGGTTATTGTAAATACAGTCCTAGAATAGATATTACTCATAAATTATAACTTGGAGAGCGTATTGCTCTAGTAAGTAATAATATTAAGGGTGTGATGCTCTGCAGCAGCACCAGCCGTAACCTAAGTGATCTGATATTACCCTGTGGTGTATGTTGACGTAAAGCAACAATACTATGAACATATATTTCTTGTGGCCCTGCCAAGATAAACATTCACAAGTCACTTAACTAGATAAGGATAAAACCACAAATATGGATCAAAAGGTAATATAAAGTGGCAATCCGGAAATTAATATATCAAATGGGGAAACTTACTGCTCCCGTCCAAGAAGATAGGTGTCCACGTGATCTGCGCAGACGCAGCGACGCATGCGGCGGCGATCACGAGCGCCGGCAGCGCCCGCCGCATGGTGAGCGCGGGCAGTCACCGCGCTCCTCGCCCCGCGCACCGCTCACGCCCTCCCATCGGCCCCTCACCTCACTTCACCGAAACTATCGTACACTACACCTCCTTTCATTGCACCTTCTTTAAAGTCACAAATAACATCTTAGTTTGCACTAAAACCTTTTCTACTTAAATTAAAAACAAAATCGATCCATTTCTATACAAAGAAAGGCGATAAACATGTTCGGTTTAATTTAGGTTTTACTTTGTTTACACTGCACTCACAAATGGACTTCCGTTACGATTAATTAATATTTAGAATTGCGTAGGTACCTGAAACAAACAAACGAAATGATGAGATACAAATATATCCCGTGTGCGTTTTCAGGCATTTTTCGTATACCTTTTTTCTTTTATAATGAAAGCTGCAGATGCTTTGTATTAGGAATCAGTTAATGATTTATTATTATAGTGACAATAAAATACAAATCCTGTAAACATTTTAAGGGTCTTTAAAAGGGATATTTTATTTGTAGGCTTTTTCTAGTAAGATGTTCCTACTTTAGCTTAATGTATAGACTTATTTTCTTACAAACATAACGCTACAATGAGGTAGAATTTCGCATAAGGGTATGTTTGTATCCTCAGAAACCATATTTTTTTATACTATTAAGGTGTCTGCCCATTAAACCGTAAGATCAATGCTGTGCTGTGACATAAAAGTTTAAGTTTCATTAGAGGTGTTTCACCTATAGTACAATTTAAATAATAAGTTTTATCAAAGTTTTTCTTCATCATCATTAGGCTTCAAATGTACCCACTGCTGGGGCTCAATCTTTTCCTATAAGTGGGATAAGGTGAACTGTATGTGATGCCTTGCAGCTGCGCTACCCCTGACCTAAGTGATCTGACATATTTTAATGTAGTATACTATGTACGTACACAACGTACAAGCAAATACAAAACGAACCATTATGGAATTCGAGTAGTTGAATTCGATCAATCCTATACGTCAATTTTTATTTTTCGTTATGTCCGTTAAATTTTTCATACGAAATGTCACACTGTTATTCGCAATAGGTTCTACCCCTACCACTCACCAATATCGAATTCGAATAGTTTGCGAGTGCGAAATGGCATTGTCAAATGTGTACAGATTTTTAGTTCTAGTGAGGTACGCCCATTGTGGAGCTGCTGTTCAAGTTTCCATACGACAAAAATATTTAACACTTGCCAACTATTTGAATTATGGTACCATGGGTACAGAATTTACGTACGTTCGATTGTATAAATTGTCCCCCCCCCCCCCTCGTGTTATTCTGCTACGCTCGAGTAAATCCAAAAATCTAATAATAACTGTTGTCTACTTGGTTTAGAAGTGACCCCGGAATTAAAGTTTGATTACTTAAAACAGTTTGGAAAGCGCAACTTAAAAGTTGAGTAGATATCCTTTTAATGCACGGACTTCAACCTGGGACAGCCTGTCTTTATTAATATCAGGTCCGATAAGGGTATATCTATGGTATATGGAGTATTGTTCTCACTTATATCTGCCAAATATCAGCTGAAACATAAGTCCATAGCTGAAACTCCGAGGAAAAGTAATTTGTCAGTCGGTCTACTGACCAGACGTGAAATGGTCGTGAATGTATGTTTCTTCATGGTTTCTTCTTTGTTTCTTCTGTATATTCGGCCATAGACTGAAGTAATCACTGTTTATAATCGACAATATTTTCATTGTATACCGAGTTATTTGATGCTACATACTAATCCTACTAATATTATAAATGTGAATGTTTGTTAATCACGCAAAAACTACGGAACGGATGCACGCACATAGTTTATAACCTAGAATGAGACTTAAGATAGTTTATCTCGAAAAAATATTAGGTCCCTAAAGGATTCTTAATAAACTATGGCGCAAAGGCGATAAAATTGTATGATACATTACTATACATCGTGTATATTTGCTAAAAAAATTTGTTTGAGGGGCTAAGAATGAGTAGTAGTCCTTAAAAATATATAAATGTATTATAGTTATTAATATATAGGACTTAGGATAGAAACTACGATAAATCGCCTAATACATCCAGCGGGGTCCTTGGCTGTATTACGTTCGGAGAAAAAATGATACTTATTGTAGTTTGGCTCAAAGTACCTCTTGATTGTACGACCTTAAAGCAATAAATCTTGCTGCATACCTGTTTATAAGTGTTTTACTAAACGACTAGTGGCCCGCCCTCGCTTTGCTTCGGTGTAGAGATAGATATTGGTATCTTCTATAAATATGGGTAGTGACCGGCCATTCTGACGCTCACGTAACAACGTAGCATTCAAATGGTGAAAGAACTTTTAAAATCGGTCCAGTATTTTTTGAGCCAATTCGTTATAAAAATACTTACATACATACTTTCCTCTTTATAATATATTAGTATAGATTGGTGTGTACCTGAAAATATAAGGAAAAACAAAACACCTATTTTAAAATAAAATATTATAATATCACAAACTACATTGTTTAGACAAACAAAGTAAATGACAAATGTTTAACAATAATAACAACAATAATTGTCTGAAGGAGCAACAGCTTGTGCGTGTACACAATCAGAATACTGGCATTCTGGACAGGATACACTTGCGTGACAGGGGCTTGGGTAGCACGGCGGTCGAGCAGAGCAGCAGTCAGGCACTTCTTGTTTTTTCCTCTCGAAGTGGTAGCAACAGTTACCCTGCGTGCCAAAACAAAAATATTGCAACAAAAAGTAGCAAACTAAAATACAAACTTCCAATTGTCCACTCCAAAGTACAAAACTCACAGAATCGCTCAGCGACAGGCCGAAGTCTCGCTATTTACATAAGTAGATAAGTTTCTCGAGTCGATTGTCCTAAATGAATTAATTTACTTCCCGGTAAAAAGTCTAAATCGCAGATAAAATTCCCATCTGCAATGTTTGGTGTTCCGTGTAATAAACACGCTTTCTGTTAATTACGAAGCTAAAAGTGGGGGAGGGGCGATGCGAACTTTAAATTTTCGTTGCTATCAGCTACCTCCGTATTGTTTCGGGGGAGATCTGGAGATTTCGAGCTTGCAAAGAACGGACGGCCTATTCGCAAAATGGAACGTCACGATGCTTCAGTTGATTGATTTATGGCGATTACGGCGCCGATAACAGTTCGTCACGAGGCTGAGATTTAGGTTCAATTAAAACGCGTCTCGTCGACGTCAAATCAAACAAGAGTGTACACAGAAAATTTACAAGATTGGATTGTTGCAAAAATTATCGCAAACTTGTTTAAAGTATTTTGTAAGTGTGGGCATCATAAATTGTTTTATGCTCAACTGCATTTGAATGTCATTAGCACAACCATATTATTAACCTAACTTACCTAACTAAATAAGTAAATAACATGTTTATTTAAAAAAAAAACGCTCTGAACCTTTCCATCGAATTTAAAAATCACAAGTCGTGCTTTCAATGTTTCACAGTTTCTGTGACATTTAGTTGTTATAGTTCAACTTTAGTGGTTCGTTGGGCACAATGCACTGAAGTAATAATAAACATCATATCAGTTCAGTAGTTCGAGGGTACGATTTTTAACATAAGTCTGCATATACTGGGGATACAATAGTTTATAGAAGACTTAGTTTTTAATAAAAGCTGAATAAGAGAAAAACCTTTGGCTTTGCAGTAGCTGGGTAAAATGTTGGTATAGTTCTCTGTTAACCAGACTATCGACTAAACTACAACTACAAAAATCAAAGGGAATTATACAGTAAAATAGACGCATTATCGTTAGTTATACAATATCATACGCGTATATTAGTTTTCATATCTGCTTTTTGCATAAGACTAGGATTATTTTTAACACCCATTTACAATTTTAATCTCGCCGGCCTGAAAGCTTTTTCTGTAAGATCCAGAAATTATACTATGAAAAAAATATTAGACAATTCTCATTTGGTTGCTAATTTACTTAATCTTTGGTGCCTTTAGTGACGCCTATAATTTATTTCTTACTAACACAATTTCGGTTACAATGAATAAATTAGGTACCTAATACTTTCATGTAAACCAAAATTGTGTAATACACGAGATCGGTCGATCTCATCCCGTGTTATTTTTCTTTTTCGGCAATTCTGCTTATAAGATGATTTTGTCAAGTTTGATACAATGTTTTATGGTTTATTTTGCCCCCTGGGGCAAACCGTGTAAACTTTCCCAAGTAGAATACGCGCCCACAATATAACGAATGATTAGCGATAAATGTCAGTCCATCGATATCATAGACAATCGATAAAACATATTTTTGGCTTATATTAAGTTTACAATTCATAAAATTATGGAAACTTTCAGACTTTTTGATAGGATTTTTTTATTTGTTAGGTAAAACAGTATGTAAACGGGGGGCTCGCTGGTATAGAGGACCAGATCAATGGCGCAAGATGTTAGCGCGTTCGGCTGTGATCGTTGAAGTTAAGCAACTTTCGTAGTGATCAGTAATTGGATGGGTGACCCGAAATATTACTATCTCGATCTCCTCTGTACTTCAGAAGGCTTAATGAGCCGTTGGTTTTGGCTGGGCCTGCGTGAGTAATAGCCCAATCTCTCTATTGCATCTATCGAGGAAGCCCGTGGCCCAGCAGACTAGATTTTTTAAGCTCCATCTAATAATTTCAACATGCTTCCCATATTGAAGCAAACAGTGCGGCAAGAGTTGTTCAAATGAGTAAAAATAAAAGCACGACCCTCGAGACTATGAGGACCAATCACGAGAAGCGTATTTTGAGCTGCCATCGGAAATAAATCCCTATCTGAACCGTCCTTGCGCTCAACGAATAAACATTGCGGTCGAAGAAGCGACGGCATCAATGTTAAAAACACACCAGCCAACCGGCCCCCAAATAACGTCTAATCTTACGTAATTTTGTTCGCAAACGAGTGGCGAGATTCAATTAAAATTCTAATTCTGTGGATAACTGGATTCTCGCGCACACCTAAAATCGGAATTGGTGCCTTTTAGTGTAAGAGTTGATTCGAGGAAAACAATTTTACAATTTCCATGAACCTCTGCGTCTTTGTGAAGGTTTGGTGATTTTTGTTTCATTTATATTAATTACTAGCAAACCAGTGAACCAATTGTTCACCAAAACCTGATTTAAAAAAAAATGTATTTAATTAATTGAGAACTTCGGAGATTTTGTGTGGTTTCGTTTGAAATTCGTGATTTCTCGAAAACCGGAAGTGCTACATTACTCAAATCCGGTTTGTAGTCTTATCAGACTATTCTTAACTTATAAGTTAAACATTCTCTTTATCTATCTCTTACGGTTT